CCCCAAAACCCCAAAACCCCAAAACCCCAAAACCCCACAGAAATGTTCTTAAATTGATTAGAGATTTTCAAAATAAAATTTTAAGCCCGAGCAGAAGTCCTTGGTTTAAGCAAAGAACTTAGAAAACTTGAATTCCTTGAGTAGAGATTGCATCTGTTGGTACTTTTGCTTGTAGAGAGGGATATTCTTAGCTTCACCTATATAATATAAGGAAAGACATACATTGAGGCCTGAGGTTTAGTTGAGTGTAGATATCTTCATCGATGACTTCCTTCAGATATCCATTGATTCCCTTAATTGAATGTCTCTTAATAGCCTTGATAAGCTTGATCTGAAGTAAAAGAGTTTTCTATGAAAATTAAGCCTTGAAATATACCTTGATATTCTTGAGAGATCTGGAACTAGACCAAAAAGACTCATGAACATCTAGTGATAGCTTTAATATGCATCATTTGTAAACACATTTAGTTTTGGGGCTCATCTCATTGATATATCACTCAATTTCATCGAGATTTGGTAAGTATTTCATCACCTTTGATAAGAGCACTTGCTTTTGAATTTCATTGTCTAAGATAGATTTCTTGCCGTCTTGATCAAAATCAGGATTTATTTTGACTATATAAATTAGAAAGAAGTCACTATACCTTTGCTTCAGGCTGGAGACCCCACAAGAAACATTATTTTAATATTAAACTCTCTTGCAGTTTCTTGTAAACTCAAGTCTCGACTAATCTGAAGATTCTCCATACAAAACTCTCTAAAATCAGGCCAAAGAAGCTTATAAGCCTCTCTCTGAGACATCATTTTATTTACTAGCTTGGGCTAAATGACCGTTAAAATATGAAAAGTCGCTTCATAACAAAAAATTCCCCAAAAAAGCACCCACTCCCAAATTCCCCTCTATCCCCCAAAACCCCCTCATCCCACCTCTAACCCCCACACAACCACCTTACATCCATCATCCTGCCACTGAGCCTTGCAAAAATCCCTAAAAAATAAACATCTGCATCAAAACCTCTCTCACCTGTCCACCTGTTCTCTCTCTCCTCTCTGCCTCGCATATTCCTCATCATATTAGCAAAATTGGTCATAATCCTTGTCCTCCTGTCCTCATCTTCAGTCCTAACCCTTGGCATTTTCAGTACAAATTACTTAATATTTTATTTCAATTCACTAAATTTCTAACGGGGTTTTGGGGTTTTGGGGTTTTGGGGTTTTGGGG